TCCTTAAAAAATAAGTTATTTTCGAAAACTTGCATATTATCGCACTTCTCCTATCTCCTAACTATTTTTAGTACTAGTTAATATTTAAGATATTTTTACATTAACAAAATTTACAAATACAGGGACAATTAGCAAATCTCTACCAGTTTTAGCTAACTATTTTAATTTTTAGATATCAAATTAAAGACAGTATAGAGCTGCTGGTGGATATAAAAGAAGAAATGATAATCGAGGAATACCAACTAAACGAAATGGTTAAAAGTGAAATGAACACCGATGACGAAACCATTCACCAAAATACCGTTCTAAACTCGCCGCCAGCTTCATTCAAGTGCAATTTCTGTAGCAGAACATTTGCACGTCTAAAAAATCTTAAATCTCATTTAGTCGTCCATTCGAAGGAGCGCCCTTTTGAATGTGATTTTTGCCATTTAAAATTCACAAAACCAAAGTCCTTAGCGGTTCATCGGAAAAAGCATAGGAAAGAAGAAAATTACGATTGCAAGATTTGTCATAAACGCTTTGCTAGTGCAAAATATTTGTTACGTCACAGAATTACTCACTCAGATGAGCGTCCTTTTCAATGCGATTACTGCAACTTAACGTTTAAATATAAACACATCTTAAGTGAGCATCGAAATAAGCATGTAAAGGAAAAGGAGTACGATTGTAAAGTTTGTGGTAAAATTTTTTACACAACATACAATCTGAATGATCATTTGTTAACTCATTCATCCAAACGCCCTTTCAAATGCGACATTTGCAATTCCACGTTCAAAGCAAAGTCGTATTTCAATCGTCATCGAAAACAGCATACGAAAGAAAAACAATACGAATGTGAAATTTGTCATAAGTTTTTTTTCTACCAAAGTGGTTTAGTTTCACATATGATCAGTCATTCTGAGGAACGCCCTTTTCAATGTCAGGTGTGCCCTGTAAAATATAGACAAAAAAGTACTTTGACGAAACATCTGAAAATACATCACGCAAATTAGTGCAAATTTAATTAGGAAAAACAAATTTCGTAAACACATTTTTGTAAAAAATCCAAAACATTGTATAATGTCGATGTTTTCACGGTGCTATTTGCACAGTTATTAATTTAGAATTCACTTGTACCAATTTTGAAAATAATTTTAACTTTATTAATGTAGATAATATTTAATTGATTTAGTGGCGTTTAATTTGAAATTTAATATTGAAAGTACCCGGAGAGTAATGCAAAATGTAAATTTGCGTTTAGGGATAGTTACTAGTAAGTAACATCATTGTATTATAATCATTATATTTGTTAACATTATTGTATGTACTTATAAAGATTAGGTAAATAAAGACATAGTGCGTTTTTTTAGCCCACAACATAGGATTTTAAGTGTTAAATTGTTCAACTCATATTGAGTGGTTTTCTATTAACAGCATAGCTATAAACTTGGGGAACGTAAAATTGACGCTTCTAACTTTACCCTTATTTAACCACATTTGGCCAAAGATTTGAAATATCCCCCTAAAAAATAAGTTATATTCGAAAACTTGCATATTATCGCACTTCTATCTCCTAACTATTTTTATTACTAGCTAATAGCTAAGATATTTTTACATTAAGAAAATTTACAAATCCAGAAACAATTAACAAATCACTACCAGTTTTAGCTGACTATTTTTATTTTTAGATCTCAAATTAAAAACAGTATAGAGCTGCTGGCGGATATAAAAGAAGAAATCGTAATCGAGGAATACCAACTAAACGAAATGGTTAAAAGTGAAATGGACACCGATGACGAAACCATTCACCAAAATACGGTTCTAAACTCACCGAGCGCTTCGTTAAAGTGCAATTTCTGTAGCAGAACATTTGCACGTATACAAAGTCTGAAATCTCATGCGGTTCTCCATTCGGACGAACGCCCTTTTGAATGTGAATTTTGCAATTTAAAATTCAAAAAACAAAAGACCTTGTCGGATCATCGAAAAACGCATAGGAAAGATGGAAATTACGATTGCAAGATTTGTCATAAACGTTTTTCATGTGCAAGATATTTGTTACGTCACAAAATTACTCACTCAGATGAGCGTCCTTTTCAATGCGATGTCTGCAACTTAAAGTTTAAACATAAACACAGCTTAATTGAGCATCGAAATAAGCATGCAAAGGAAAAGGAGTACGATTGTAACGTTTGTGGTAAAATTTTTTACACAGCATACAATCTGAATTACCATTTGTTAACTCATTCATCCAAACGCCCTTTCAAATGCGATATTTGCAATTCCACGTTCAAAGCAAAGGCGTATCTAAGCCGTCATCGAAACAGGCATACGAAAGAAAAACAATGCGAGTGTAACATTTGTCATAAGGTTTTTTTCTATCCAAGTGTTTTAGTTTCACATATGACCAGTCATTCTGACGAACGCCCTTTTCAATGTGAGCAGTGTCCTCTAAAATATAGACAAAAAAGGGATTTAACAATACATCAACAAAGACATCACGCAAATTAGTGTAAATTTAATAAGGAAAAATAAATTTTGTCTACACACAACATTTTTGTAAAAAATATAAAAGTATTGTATATTGTCGATGTTTTCACGGTGCTATTTGCGCCGTTATTAATTTCGAATTCACTTGTATCAATTTTGAAAATAATTTTTCCAAGCGGCTCATCTGAAAAAGCATATGAAAGAAGTTTGGTACTTTTTCTATGCTGTTTGCGTAGTTATTACTTGTACTGAATAAGAAAATAAATTTAACTTTATTAAAATCCTTTATTCTATTTAAATCACTTAGTGGCGTTTTGTGTGAAAATTAATATTGAAGATTCGCATCAAACCCTCGCTTTGAAGAATATTTACAAATACAGAAACAATTACTAAACCACTACCAATTTTAGCTGACTATTTTTATTTTTAGGTTGCAACTTAACAATAGTTCAGAGCTGCCCGTTGATGTCATAAAAGAAGAAATCACAATCGAGGAACACCACCTAAGTGAAGTGGTTAAATGTGAAATGGATGCCGATGACCAAAGCATTCACCAAAATACCCTTCTTAACTCACCCTCAACTTCATTGAAGTGCAATTTCTGTGGCAGAACATTTGCACGTATACAATATCTGAAATATCATTTGGTCATCCATTCGGACGAACGCCCCTTTGAATGTGATATTTGCAATTTAAAATTCAAAAGACAAAAGACCTTAGCGGCTCATAGGAAAATTCATACAAAAGAAAAACAGTACGAATGCGAGATTTGTCATAAACGCTTTTTAAATGCAAGATATTTGGCATCTCACACAGCTACTCACTCAGATGAGCGTCCTTTTCAATGCGATATTTGCAACTTAAAGTTTAAAACTAAATCCCGCTTAAATGCGCATCGAAATATACATACAATGGAAAAACGGTACAATTGTGAAGTTTGTGGAAAATCTTTTTTGACTTCAAACAGTCGGAGATCTCATTTGGTAACGCATTCAGGCAAACGATCTTTCAAATGCGATATTTGCAATTTGAAGTTCAAAACAAAGTCTCATCTAATTTCTCATCGAAACTCGCATGCGAAAGAAACGAAATACGAATGCAACATTCGCCATAAGATTTTCTCATGTTCAGGTAGCGTATTTTCTCATATGAAGTCACCCTGACGAACGCACTTTTGAATGTAAGGTGTGTAATTTAAAATTTAAACTAAAAGGGATTTGACCGAAACATTAAAATAGACATAAGAAGGGGAGTTAGTGGAAGTTTAAATAGGAGAGAGCCGATTTTATATGTAATGTTTCTTATTCTCACGAATGCCCTTTTGAATGTAAGATGTGTAATTTAGAATTTATACAAAAACATTAATTAACGAGACCTCAACAGAAACATAAGAATGCTAATTAATAGACATTTAAATAAGAAAGGACATTTTGTCTACAGGGTGATTTACGTAGACCGTGCATTAGAAGGTTTACAACTTGCAGCTGCTTTATACCATAACATACTTCAAATTTTGCTTGCGGTTATACCGAGTATATAGTATAACTAGCTGACCCGGCAAACGTTGTATTGCCATATAAATTATTCCTAGGGTTTTTTTTCATCTCGAGTGAGCGGTTTGCCCACTTGAGATTTTTTTTTTATTTTTTTTTAAATTTATTGAATTACTATTAAAAGATAGGGGTTTATGGCAGCACCCATATCACTTAGGGGTATAAAAAATAGATAAGAACCTATTCTCAGACGTACTGAATATACATACAAAATTTCATCAAAATTGGTCAATCCGTTTCGGAGGAGTATGGTAACTAAAACTGTGACACGAGAATTATATATATATAGATAAAAACCATGTAAATTACATTGAGTCCTCCAGCTATACGAGTGTACGAAAAGTGGAACCTAACGTTTTAATTGCAAACTCCTAATTCCTTTAGCATGGTTCGATTAGCCTGCCGATTGCAAGTGGGCAACCCTAGTTTATTGGTGTTCCTTTTGTAGACGTTATGCCTTTTTTTTCATTAATTTTACACGTACAAATAAGATTTTACATAACGTTTTACAAACAAAATTTGAAGTATTCTAAGCACGACGGCGGACGAATTGGCAGATTTGTGTCGGATATTTTCAAGACAGCTACAAAGCGTCCATTAAGGCGAGCTTTGGCTCCCACAACTGGGATAGAATACATATAAGCTAACAACATATTTGCGTTGCGAATAATTTCGTATTTACTTGTTCTGTATTAAAATAATTATACTAACTAAAGAATATATATGTGAAAAAAATTTGGCATAAGATTGTTTTGTATTTAGCTGGTTTATTTTCTGATATGAGCACTCAGACAAACGCCCTTTTCAATGTAATCTGTGTAGTTTATACTTTAAGCATAAAAGGCATTTACCGAACTATCAAAATTGACATAAGAATGCGAATTAGTAGAAGACTATTGCTATACAGTAAAATAAGGGCACTGAGACCTTATTTGGCTGAAAGGAAGAAGATCTGACATAAGTTTTATTAAGAAAAAAAAGAAAAAAGGAATTATATCCAGCAAATAAAAAGTTCTGATGGTTTTGCTACCAAGAGACTCAATAATTTCCTTTTTAGCACTCAAGTTAATCATATTTATGAAACACCCGACAAAGTAAAGCAAGAAGTTACAATCGATGATAGCGACCTGACTGAACTACTTAAATTAGAAGAGAACCCAAGTGATGATGAAACATTCCATATGAAAACATTAAACGACTTCCAAAATGTGTATCCAATAGCAAACAACTATTCGTGCAATATATGCAGCAAATGGTTTAAACGTGTTGGAAATTTAAAGTCGCATTTGATCTCTCACTCAGATGAACGTCCTTTTGAATGCGAATTTTGCAATTTAAAGTATAAACGCAAACAGCAATTAAATATTCATCGAAATAAGCATACGAGGGAAATGAATGGAAGCTTTATCGAGCGCTCTTTTTCATGCGATATTTGCAAATGCAAGTTTAAAAGGAAATACGACTTAAATGTACATCGCAATAAGCATACCAGGGATAAGCAATACGACTGCAAGTTATGCGACAAGAGTTTCTTATATTCATGTAACTTACTGGCTCACTTGCGTAGTCACTCAGACGAGCGACCGTTCAAATGTGAAACTTGCGATTTGCAATTTAAACAAAAGCGGCATTTGAAATGCCATCAAAAAAGGCATAGAATCGAACAATAGTACATATGTTCATATAATTTAGATAACTCCAATATGTCACCACTTGATAAACTAACAATATGGGAAAATATGTTTTTGTGCTATAATTTATATCAAAATTAGCCAATTAGCTCAGCAGAAAGAAAGTTTAACTGAAATACACTGGGCCGCAAACGTAAAACGTTTTTCGTCAAAATTAATAATAAAAAGTTTCTCATATGGTGCAAGCTTAAGTAAACACACTGCATGTTTTCTTCTGTACCTTGATATTTTAAAATTTTTATTTTTACTTAACAATTAATCATAAATATGTAACTCACCTGACAATTCCTGGTATCAATTTTGTCGCCTGAAGAAATTATAGGCTGGTAATTTGCCTTCCACCGCGCAAACCACTTCAAAACTATTTAATCCAAAATTAATTTTCAACCCTCGTATTTAAGACCAACATGTCAAATGAATCTCGAATTTGATTTAATTCTGTAATAAAACTATTATTATTAATTGTTATTTATTATTCATATAATAATTAATTGTGGAAACTGAATAAAAACATCCAAACGCACTGTTCTGCTGTTGTATTTTAGCATCCTTTATCGAAATGGTAAAGTAATATGAAAATATTCGCATTTTTACTGTGTTGCGCATGCAGGATTTGCAAGGAAAAGTGTAAAGTATTTATGACCTGTAGAAATAGAAATATTTTGATTGCTTCAAATACTTTTAAATATATTTAGTTACAATGCGGTTAAAATTTTAAGCGTTAATAGTAAATAAAGAATCAACAAGCCAAATCGTTATCAACTGAGAAAGTCCCTTTTTCACAAGAGATATTTTCAGTCGATAAATATCAATGGAAATTCTGGAGAATTTTCCATATATGCGTGTATTGATATTAATTTTTTGTAGATCCCAAAGTGATTTAAACGTGGAACATAGAATAAAAGAAGAAATCGATATTGAGGAAGAAGATTTGATTCAGAAAGTAAAATCTGAGAAGGAACTGAGTGATGAAACTTTCGAGTCCGGCCGAAATTTCAAAAGCAGCCAACCCGGAGGAATACAAGAGGAACCCTATAAGTGTGAAATTTGTTTCAAAACATTTCCCTCTGTGCCAAGTCTAAATAAGCATTTGGGTACACATTCTGAAGCGTTTGCATTTGAATGTGAAGTTTGCAAATTAAAATTTTCCCAAATTGAGCGTCTACAAAAACACCAAAACACGCATGCTAAAGAAAAGCTTTACTGCTGTCGAATTTGTAATAAAACATTTTCATTTTCATTCCATTTAACATCTCATTTGAAGTCTCATTCTGACGATCGTCCGTTTGAGTGTCATACCTGCGGTGTAACTTACAAGCATAAACACAAACTAAAGGCCCATCTAAATAAGCATTCAAAAGCAAAACAATTAATGTGCCAGCTTTGTAACAAAACATTTTTCCATTTGGATAATTTACGTCAGCATCGGCTGTTTCATTCGGACGATCGCCCTTATGACTGTACCATTTGCGGTTCAAAGTTCAAACTTAATAGTCATCTAAAACAGCACATAAAAACACATACGAAAGAAGTAAAGTATGAATGTGAAAAGTGTGGAAAACTCTTTCCAAGTTTGAGTAATTTACGCGAGCATCTGCAAGTGCATTCAGACGGTGGCCATTTGCTGATTCATTCCGAAAACGGCACTTTTGAATGTGAAATTTGCGGTTCAAAATTTAGGCGCAGAAATAATCTAAAGAGGCATTTGACTGTCCATACAAAGGCAGATAACTATTACTGTAAAACATGTAGGAAAACCTTCTTAAATCCTGAAGATTTACGCGAACATTTGTACTGTCATTCAGAGGAGCGCCGTTACGAATGTGAAATTTGCAGCTCAAAATTCAGTCGAAATGGTACCCTAAAGAGGCATGTAAATACACATATGAAGGGAGAACACTATTACTGTAAAACCTGTAAAGAAACATTTCCACTTCGTGAAGAATTGCGCGACCATTTAATTACTCATTAGAATGTTTGCTATTGAAAATGTGAACGAAATTAGCAGTTTCATCGGGAATTCAGTTGGACGGTACAATGTATGATATGTAGTATTGTATACTTGACAACAGTAGCGATTCCAAAGAGGGGCTGAGGCCCATTTCAAACTCAAAAATTGTAATTCACTTTAATAATAAATTTAGAAACTAATTTTTTTTTAGTTTCAAATTTCATTTCAAAAACACGTTAATTCCATCCAGAAGAACTTGGAAGTTACGATACGTCCATGCTGATTCTGGATCCTTTATCTTAAAACATAATACATTCATCTATAGGCATCTTTTTATCCTCTAAGTATGTCCACAATTCGTTCCACCACTTTATCGGTTGGAAAAATTTGCCCCAAAACCACTGAACTTTTTGCGTTTTGAATAGAACGAAAATAAGATTTTCTTGCAGAAATATCTACTAATTGACGATCGGAAGTGAGCAATTTTCCGAATCAAAACCACTAAACACCTTAAAACGCCAGGTAGTTCATTAAAGTCGTCTGCGACAAAATTTAAAAATATATCTCAACATTATAGAAATTCCCATGAAGCACGGCTTCAAAGCCCGGAAAACATTTCTAAATGTGATTTGGCCGGCCGTAAAAGCCTTCATAGTCTGATAGATTTTTTTTTTGTCTTTGAATGAATATCGTTTCTCAAGTCAGGAAATCCCATAACAGTTTATGTATATCGATTTGAGATAAATATAATATATATATTTTTTTTAATAGTTCAGATCAAAAACTGACATAAATGGAAATTGAAGACGATTTCGATGAGGATGTTTAAATAGAACCGCATTCAAATGAATTTTCCCATACGAATACCCATCAAAAACAGTGTTTTCTGCACAAGACAACTATTACAGCTGTAAATTTTGCTCTTAAACATTTCCAACTAGACCAAGTTTAAATAATCACTTGGCTGCGCATGCTGAAAACTTCTCATTGGAATGAGAAATTTACAATTTCAAGTTCACTCGAACTGACTTCTAAACATCCATCGATAGAAGTATTCAAAGGAAAAACTACTTTCCTGTGAGATTTGCGATAAAACTTTTTTATTTTCGCAGAATCTAAATGACTATTTGAAAATTCATAAGGATTCACGTCCTTTCCAATGCGATATTTTAAAATCGAAATTTAGAAGAAAATATGATTTGATACGTCACAGTCGAGGTCATATGAATGATAATCAGTACACCTGTGAAATTTGCAATAAAACTTTCTCATATTGTTATAATTTAACTGCTCACTTGAAAGTGCATTCAAACGCAAACAACATTGTGTTCAGCGAAACAAACATACCAGAGAAAAACAATACCATTGTAAGATTTGCGGCAAAAGCTTTTCATTCTCAAGCAATTTAACTAGACATTTGAAAATTAATTCGGATGAATAGCCGATTAAGTGCAATATTTGTCATTAAACGTTTAAGTCTAATTATTTGGTCATTAGTTATTAGAGATTGATGCGAAAGATTGTCGTTCAGTGGTTTTTTATATTGAATCAGATACTATTTAATTTAATTTTCATTGTTGATAAATTAAACGTTCTTCTGTAGTATTGCTTTTTGCAAAAGTAGAAATTATTTTTCTCGTTAAAACACCAATTCACTTCCGATAGAGATCAATGTTGCTCCAAACAAATCGACTTTTATGAATGCTCCTCCTCCAATCCTTAAGGCGAATCATTGCGTCATTCAATGCGACTTTGCGCTATTTTCGCTTGAAATTAAGTTGGGATTAAAACATATTTCGGCTAATTGGATTTGTTTTCAGATGCTGGTCAGTGATTAAAGCAGAGTTTTACCTTCAGGAGGAAAGCCTTAAAGCGGAAGAAATTACGATCGAGGAACACGACGTATCAGAGTTTGCACATCAAACAGAAACAACAGATCTAATAGACCTTCGAAGTATATATAACCAGAGCATTAAAGAGGAAAGAAACGAAGAAATTGTAATGGACGAATATGACCAGCCTGGACTGGTAAATCGTAAACAATCTAAGCCTATGCAGCTAAAGTGTGGCATTTGTCTAGAAGCATTTGCAAGCAAACGAAAATTAAATGCGCATTTGAGCAACCACTCAAATCGCTCTTGCCAACCCAAAAAAAGCAGTGAACTAAATACTCACATTGGTCCGAAGAAACGAACCAACATAAAACATTATTCCTGTAAGGTTTGTCGTAAAACTTTTCGCTCTTTATGGCTTTTAAAGTCGCATTTAATAAGTCATACTGATGAACGGCCGTTTGAATGCGATACCTGCCATG